GCCTGGACACAAGACCTTGAAATGGACTTTTGGAGTTCTGTTGCACACAGGGACAGAAAATCTTTTTCTGTTAATGCAAGCAAACCCCCATGTCCTTCCATCAACCAGTGCCCTGATTATGAGTACTGGCACAGTGTGAGATGAAGAATCCCCGCTGTCTGCACAGTGCAAAATCCCTCCTCATCTTGCAGGAAACCCTACAATAATCCCATCCTCTGCTTTCTTTTAAAATAAGTTAAACTAAGTTTTTCTTTCCAAGGAAGGGGATCATGTTCTCTTCTTGGTTACTCCTATAGCCCCCACTAAGGCCAAGAACCACCCGTGTCAGCACAACAGCAGTTTCACACCACTGTAGCTGACAGCAGCATGGTGTGACCAAGAGCTTGTGTCAGAGCAGTAGGAATATTGTAGAGTGGGAGCTGATCAACTGAGCATTAAGAGCATCCTGTGGTGTGTTGAGCTGGTTTTGGAGTGTTTCCTCGGGCTCCTTGTGTTGTTCACTCCTTGCTCTACATAAAGGCTTACAGGTTGAAAAGAAGAAATGTGATATTGGAAGGTAAATGGTTTGCTGTCTGTTTCTGTTTTAGGAGGGAGAGGTTGGTCCACATAGTTCAATGGAAATCAAGGTGTTCTTTAAACCCCAACAAGCCCAAGTCTATGAAAGAGTGGCCCACTGTGACATCTCAGGTACGGCTCCTTCTCCTCTTTCTCTCACCCACAGGGAGGGGGAGGTGCAAGTACTCTTGCAGCCCACTGGGCTCCCGTGTAAGTGCTGGGAAGGGTCCATGGTCAGCAGGGCAGTGCTGGCTCGTGCACTGTCCCTGCGGCTTCCAGGTGGTCTCCCATGCAAGGCCAGGGCTCAGGACACACTGATCTGAGAACAATCCAAGCAGTGCATGGTTAAGCTTTCATGCCATGGGTTTGCCAGTATTTGCTCAAAGGCCAAAGAGCTACACAGCAGATCAGCTTTAGGGAGCAGTAATTACTGAGGGCTCATGCTAACAAACTCTCTTCCTGCCCACCAGCTCCCGTTGTTAGAGCTGTGGAAGGAAAGCACAAATTTAAAAAGTTGCTCCCAAGGCATTCCTTGGGATGTCCTGCATCATGTGAAACTGTGCATCTCTGTTTGTTGACATGGTCAGATGAGGAGCATGTTCTGAGACAGTCACCAAACACGGGGGGACATTCTGTGAACACCATGCTGAGTGTCAGAAAGCAGCAGAAGATTTTGCTTTTTCAGGGTGCAAACCGGTGGCTAAATGGGAAACAAGCCCAAGGGGTGGGTTAGAAATTGGAAGCCAGCCCCAAGGCATATCTCCTGAGGGAAGAGAAGGGTCCATCTCTTCCCCTGGAGCATCAGGGGCTGGTCTCACCCATCTCGGAGTCAGGAACTAGCACTGAGGTAGCCTGGAAAAAAGCAGGATAAGGGAGTGAGAATCACAGTACTGAAATGGAAATCTCTCCCCAGGCCGTGAGAGCAGGCTGCCCCTGCGCCTCAAAGGGGAAGGCCTCGGGCCCTGCCTCCAGCTCAACATTGATGAACTCAACATGGGGAAGCTTTTTGTTGGAGAAACCTACAGCTATGAGGTGAGCAGCAGGGGCTGGGGTGGATCCTGATGGCTCCTGGGGCAGCAGGGAGCCTGGTGGACCTGTGGAATTTCTGGCAACTTGGGCAGTTGTGAGCAGGGAATATTTGACATACTAGTCAAATCTGGGGGTTTCACAGAATCTTGAACCTTTTATGGGGTCTGAAAGGTGTTGTCTGTTGTTCATGAAGTCCCAGTTCCTGCTTTTTGGCAACCTCCCTTGGGGATCAGCTGGGATGCTTTCTGCAAAACAACCTCTCAACACATGAAAGCAACACTGGGTCAAAAAGTGTTCAGAGGCTTCTGTTCCAGCCTCAGACTCAAGGCACCTTTGTGCTTGGGCTGTTCAAGAGCAGCTGGAACAAACTGGCTGCAAGAGTCCACTGCAAGAGAGAGCAACTGAAAAAAGTAGAAAATGAGGCACTACATCATGCCAGACACTTTCAAAAGCTTTGCCATGGCAGGGAAGGACAAACTGAGTCATGTTCTTACATAAAAAGATTGTGCTCTCTCTCCATTTTTGATGCTGATACTTTATTATTTCTCACTATCAATGTACTATTATCATTACATGAGAAAAGGTGAATGAGTAGATGATACTGATAGTGCTGTCCTAAGCAGCTACACTGCAGGTAAACCTCATCTCAGCATGGATTCCCTAAGTGCAATTTGTAACACAGGTAAGGCACATGAGAGGAGAGCAGTTTTCAAGTTTCAGGGCAGAGGTTGAATATGGGAACTTGTCCTGTTGAACTTTTTTGCCTTCTGCCACGTAGCAGCCCACAGCATCTTCTGCCTTTCCGGGGTTAATAGTTTATTAGAAAGCAACTCAGCCTTCTGTAAGAAAGGAAGGTTGCTCATGTATTTCCATTTTGCTTTCTTGCTGCTGCAGGCGATGCTGGTTAACAAAGGAGATATTGACACTCCCTTTGAGCTCGTCCCTTCAACCACCAGCTATGGCTCCTGCTTCAGCTTTCTGCCCCAGAAGGGCATCATTCCACCAAATGGGTTCCAGTCCCTCCAGATCTCCTTCAGTTCCACCACCCTGGGGGAGTTCTATGAAAAATTCCAGTTCAATGTGACTGCATCCCCTAAGCCTGTGACCTTTACTATCAGGTGAGGAGGGCTCTGGGAGCTTAGTGGGCACATCTGTAGCTGTCTCTGGGTAATCATCTCCCACCGACCTCATTTGGTGGTGGAGCAGAGAAGAAAGGTGTTGCCTGAAGTCTTAGCCTTGCCTCGGATGCTGGCATCCTCTTAGTGTGGGGATGCCTTCTGCTCAGTGCAGGTGCCCAGGAGCTGGAGTGACTCCTTCCTGCAAGGACCTCCCTCCGCCTGGGCCGTGGCAGGCAGTGGGAAGGCATCAGCTTTGGGCAGTTGCTGGTCTGGAATGTCCCCTCTGAACAGCCAGCAAGGTCCCCAGGGCTTTGGAGATGGGCCAGCCTGGGTGATTCTGCAGCCAGGAGAAGTGGTTTTAAAATCCTCTGTTAATGCTCCATGCCCAAGGGGCGGCAGCAGCCTCACATCATCCCTCATGCTCGTGCACAGGCACAGGCTCTGCTCCCGGCTCCTGTGCGGGGAGTGCTCCGGTACCTCCTTTCTGCAGCAGGAAGGGGCTGGTGTGGGAGATGGGGAGCTCTGCAGCAGGGACTGTCACAAGGACTTGGGCATCATCCCATGGGCTGGTGCCTTTGCAAAAGATAATCCTCGCCCAGCAAAGGGGAGAAGGGGTGATGACAGGAGAGGGAATGCCCTGCCTGTCGTGGTGCCCCAGGCCCCGTCAGCAGCTGTGGGCTGCTGACCACTGTGCTTCAGCTGCCTCCTGTGCACACAGAGGCTGTGCTGAGCACAGGGTGGGCTGGTTTGACACCCACGGTGCCTCTGACACCAACTGTTATCCACCTGAGCCGGAAGGACAGCCAAAGGCTTTGCAGTTCCCTTTAACCAAGCCATTGCCTCCTCTGTCCTCGTCCTTGCAGGGGCCAGGTCACTGGACTGAGCCTGAATTTCAGCACAGGAACCCTTGACTTCAATGACGTCTCCTTTGGTGAGTTTTCCCTGGGCTTGGACGCAGTGGGAGGGATCTGTGCCTTGCCAAAATGGAGCACTTGAACAGAAGAGCATCTGTCCCTCCTGCCCTTCCACGGCAGCCTGCAGGGTGTTAACTCCAGGGCTGCTGATGGCATTTTGCCATCGTGAGATCCGAAAGGACCAAGCAAATAGAAAGTCAGTATTTTCTGGTGTCCTGTGTAGTCTCTTCTGCTCCAATCTCCCAGTCCTTGCCAGCAGAACGACCATAAAAGTCCTTGTCCCAGGAGGGCCTGGCTTTCCGTTATGGGGAGCAAGTCTCAGAGATAAAGTGCTGTAAACTCTTGTGGGCAGCAATCACAGCCAGTGTGCAGCGTGGCTGTGATATCCCCATTTGTTGGACAAGGCAAGACATGGTTCCTGATCACTGATCTCAGAGCAAGCCTTGGGTTTGCCTCCAGTGAAGTGGGCTGTGAGTTGTACGTGCTCAGTCTGGTTGCCCCAAGCCAGGAGATACCTTAAGGATCCTGCCTAAAGAATCTGCACTGGAGTGCTTTGCATCATGTTCCAGTTCCCCATTCTATCCTCCCTTTTTTTTCTGCTGTAGCTTCTCCCCAGTGACAACTCAGTGCTTTTGTATCTTGAAAATGGTGGGAGCGTTGGCAGCGTTAACAGGGAATTGTATGGCTTGAATTTTCAGAGTAAATGGTCAGTCTGGATGCACACCCATTAGTGCGAAATAATTGATGGTGCTGGTTTAGGGCAGTTAGAGAGAGAGAAACTTGTGGGGTTCAGCAGGACTAAGAGTGGGCATTTCCAAGGCAGCAACCTGGGGTCAGTGTCCAAGTGATGATTAATTGCTCACTGAGCTGCTCAGTGAGCTGTCATTCAGATAACAAAGAGCTAAAACTCCAAGCACAGTTTCTCATCCTACCAGGATATTCACGCCGTGAGATGCTTGGTGCCTACATGGTCATTTGTGTCGTTTTCCTAGGCTTTCCTCACACCTTGTCGTGCCGCCTGATCAACACCTCCGTGGTGCCCATCACCTTCCACCTTCGCATTCCTGAGGACGGCCAGGGACAGCCCAGCCTTACCAGCTTTGATCAAATGAAAGACAACGATCACCCATCCTGGGAAAAGGGCACATTGACTCAATTTCATGAGAAACCAAAGGAATTTACCATAACACCGAGCACAGGCACCATCCATGCCAGGGGATTCCAGGAGATCACGGTATGGGAAGGGTCTGGCCATACATGGGTCAGGAGGTGGGGCTGAAGCCTCACTGGTGTGTGGGAGGGCTTTAGTGCTGCCGCCTCTCAATGTGTGCAAGGGAGAGACCTGCCCTGGCGTGGGAGCTGGGTTACTCAGAGCTTTAGTCTCATTATCCATGATTATGTATAATGCTTTAATTTAGCCACCTATGCCCTGACAGCTGCAAGGTGTGTTTAACAAATTCAGTATTGCCAGAAAGCTTGTGTTACTCCATGTGTGCTCTACGAATGGGCCAGCAGAAGAATTAAGGCAAAATCCTCCCTTTCCTTACTGTGAAACAAGACCCAGAGGAGACCACACATGGGTAACGAGCTTCTGGGAGAAGGGAAATATTTGCTGCTCTTCTCTTCCACCAGGTCACACTGTGTTCCAATGATGTGGGACAGTACGACTGTGATATGGTGGTGGACGTGGATGGTTTTGGAAAGGAGGTGTTAGCTCTGCGCCTCAAAGCCAGGTACCAGTGCTTTCCTTGCAGCTGCTCATCCTTCCCCGTGCACCCGCCACCAGCACACTGCCTTGCACGGGGTTTGCTGGCTGCAGCTCCAGGAGAAGGTTTCTTTGCTTCCCTCTGGCTCTTTTCGAGCATTAACATTCTCAGACTCACCCAAGACGTTGTTCTTGCTGCAGCCAAATTCCATCCTGTGGTGCTGCCGTGGGTGTCAGTTTAATGGCAAGAGGGATGCAGTTCCCTGGTGCTGTTCCCTCTCCCGGGCAGAGCCATCCAGTCAGTGCCTGGGCTGCAGTTCTGTAAAGCAAGTGCCAAGGGGGACGGAGCTGGGACCCATGGGGTGCAGCAGTAAGGGAGCTGTGGGAACTGGGAGGACGATCACCCACTCCGTAGGGCAGGTGGTGGCTCTTGCCCTCAACACTGGGCAAACGGCTGAGTTTTCTGGCAGCGCAGCAGCACCCTGGGAGAGAAGGGAGTAGTTTTTATGGAGACAGTGGAGTGTTGTATTTCTTGAGCCTTGGTGAGCACTGACCCTCAATGGGAAGGCTCCCCCGAGCTCACGGCTCGCTGGGCCTGTTGGGGGAGTCCTTGCAAGCCTCCTTGGGCAAAGGAGGGGCTGAGGCAGCTGTGGGACGAGGCCCGTGCTCTGCCCGGGCACTTGGCAGCCTCTGCAGCGCTGAGTCTCAGGGTTTGCCCTTCCTTGACAAGATGTGTTTGAGTGGAATGACATGAAAGGTGCTTAACCTCTGTAAGGGTATTAAACATCTGCTGGGCAGTGAGAAATGTCTTATGCTCCAGTCCATGCTCTGCAGGGGGAAATGCTCTCCATTCTCTCTGTATCTCTTAATTCCCTCGGGGTCATCTCTTTGCCCAGATGTGTCATTCCTGACCTCCGGTTGCTCAACTCCACCCTCGACTGTGGAAAGTTCTCTCTAAAGGAGCCTTGCAAGCAAAAGCTGACCCTCGTGAACCCGAGCCCCCTTCCAGGATGCTACAGAGTTCTCCCTCAGGTTTGGCATCTCATCCACCTCCTCCTCTCAAATATTATTGAAGGGCTTGTTAAGGACAAATGGGGTTTGAATAAGACCTTGCTGGTTTCTGTTCAGACTTCAAGGTGTGCTGAGGACTTTAGGAAGCAGTTAAATAGGAACCTGCCTGAATATTATCAACTTCAGGAAGCATTTCAACCTCTTCAGGAAGCAGTTTATATTCTAGTGTTTGGGGTGTTTTCTTGTGAGAGATCTTAGAAGGTTGTGAAAAGCTGCTGCAAGGAGTCTGCCAGCACAGGAGAGGGTGTCTGTGGATGCAGCAGCTTTTGGACCCTGAGGATGCTAAGCCCCAACAATTCTTGCATCTTTTTTTGTGCCTTTCAGCTTTTTCCTGGGGATTTTTAACAAATGTGTGTGAGTTGCCATTGTGGTAGATGTTAAGCAGCTTAAAGTTTTCTCAAAGGTCCCTCTGAAGTTGCACTTGATTCTGTCCCTCTAGAAACACCAAGAGGAGGCTACTCTGTGGTACTCCTGCCCCAAGCCGTGTGGGATTATCCAGGGTCACGACGTGCTGGAGATCCCAATCACGGTTGAAGCCCAGGCGGTGGGTGCTCATTCCACCGTGGTGGATATCGCCGTGTTCGGGAAGGAAAGACACCCACTGGTGAGTGTGAGGGGAGGCGTGTGCGTTTGTGCAGCTCATTCTGGGGGGTGTGAAGTGTGCAGGGATTCTTCCAGGGAAAGCAGGGGCTTGTCGTATATGGCTGGTGTGGACCAGGACAGAAGGCACGGGCAGCATAAGCAGTTTATGCTGGAAAAGAGCAAGAATGGAGTCCTCCTAGGGGGTAATCTCAGCACATAGTTCATCTAAGCTGAAACTGAGGATCATTTTATTTCATTAATCTTCCATTTAAAATCCTGGTAACTGTGGGAACATCGCTTTAAAAATGTCACCTCTCCGAACACAAAAGAGGATGTCAGAGGATTTCTGGGAACCTCCAGCTTTCTGTGTCAGAAAGAAAGGCTGATGTTTGAAAAGCGGTTGCAGGGATTTTAAACTTACATTCAAGCAAATGGAAATGATGATGCCAAATCCTTTGGATGGCACCAACCATGTCCAGCCGGGCCATCGTGCTTGTGCACGTAAACCAGCCAACAGGAAGGGCGGGCAGTGCAGGCTGTGCAGGGGAGCCTGACTTTTAACAACACTTGCACATCAGGCTGCTTCCCTTACAGAGCAGGGTTTCTCCCCACCAGAATAACCAGTTGTTTTAACTCTCAGACTGTTTTTAAACTACAGATTTCTTGCAAACTTTTACCTTTGGGCCAACAGTTTACAGGTTGAAAGTTTCCCTGACTTTATCTTTTTTAATTTGGAAGGGAATATCAAATTTTTGCCTAGAAGTCCAGCATTTTAGCTGGAGCGTCATATCTGTCCCTAAAGGAATGACTTGAGTGCTATTGAGCTGTTTAAGCTTTCTTAACTTTCCCTGTTGTTTTCTGGTTTGTGTGTTTTTTTGGGTTTTTTTGTGGGTTTTTTTTTGTGTGCGGTTTTTGTTTGTTTGTTTGTGTGGGTTTTCTTGTTTGTTTTTTTTTTTCTTAAATCTCTCTTACCTTTTTCCTGGAACAGCAAATGGAGTTAATGTGCACTGGAAACATACCGCTCGTCTATGCAACTGTGACTAAGATAAACTTCGGCAAGATCCGAGCGATACAGGACGCTTCTGAAACCTTCCAGCTGTGCAATCTGAGTATTGTCCCTGCAGCCTTCAGAGTGGAGATCGTAAGTGTCTGTGGGGCTGTTTTCCAGGGAAACTCACTGCTCAGTAGCAACCCAGGACTTGGATTTTGTATGTGAGGTTTCTATATTGCTCTGTGGGAGAGAGGAGGCAAGAGATTCCATCCGAGGCAGGAGGAGCCTTGCTCTGCACGTGGTTTGAGCCGGGACAACCTTCAGTGAATTAGTTTGCAGAGTTGCAGGAGCAGAAGTGAGTCTGGATTGTGGTTTATTTTGGGGAAGGTATTAAGTGGTGCAAGTCACATTTTTAGAGCTCTGAGATGAAGTGAAGCCTGTGGCCCTTTGCTCCTGAGAGGCCAAGGATTTCCCTATGGTTTCCTCACACCCTCCACATTTGCTTTGTGCCAAACCGCTGTTAATGGCAGAGACCAGGGTGTGGGGTCTGTCTCAAGCTCCGGGTGGGGAGAGGAGCTTCCCCCCTCCTTGGGGGTCAGAGCACCGGGCTGTTGCACACAAACACACCTGCGGGGGTTGTGCACCCCTGGAGCCTCCACAGCGTTCCAGAGTATCTGGAGAGCAGCTGCAAAGAAAGGCTCTTTGTTTGATTCGTGGAGGCTGCACAGAGCAGCAGGAGCTGGGGCTGCTCCCCTGGCAGGGGCAGCTGAGCTGGTGGAGCAGAGCTGGTGCAGCCAGCAGGGCTGGGCTGGGTGGGATGTGCTCCCCGCTGCAGGGGCTCTGTGAGGGGCTTGCAAACAGGCTTGGCAGGGGGGGGTTTCTTGTCCATGCCGAGTGGGCTGGACTGCTGGAGCTGGTTGAAACCAGCCCCGAGACGGTGGGTGTGGTTGTGGTTGTGTGTATGGGTAAAGCCTCGGGCAGAGGAGGAGAGTCCAGGCTCAGCCCCCTGGATCGAGGAGGAGAGTGGAGTTTTCCACTTGCTGCTTTCCCCGGTGTCTGAGGAGTAAATGTAATCTCCAAGTGAGGGATTTCCAGGGCAACTTTCTTCATCTCCACGATGAAATTCTGCTTTCCAACCCTGTAGAGAGCAAGCCGCCTCGAATGGTTGGTGCTGGCTCATAAATGATAGTTTTTGCATGCTCACACCAGGCTGGGACCTGCAAAACTGTGTCGGTACAGCTGTCCCAGTGTGAGACCTTTCCTCCCTCCCCAGGGCAGCTTGCAGCTTTCTTGCCCCATCCGTAGAGGGAAGTCCATGAGAAAGCAGAGGACAAATGCTTGGGAAGGCTGGGCTATGCCCCCAGGACCGTTTTCCTTCTGCCGACTGTTTTCCTGCCCTGCTATAAGCACTGAGAGCTGACTTTTCCAAAGCAGAGGGCTCTGGGGCACCTCTTTGCAACTGATGATCAATGGGAGACAAGGGCTTTGGTCCTTCAGGGGCAAGGAGTTGGGTGCTGGGGTTTTGCTCCTCTGGTTTTGCAGAGTTAGTCTTCAGGCTCTCAGCACTGTCCTCCAGCTGTGTGGCTGCTGTGGTGGGATTTGAGCAGTCGTGGCTTTCTGCAGCCTTGAGCCTTTGTGAAAACCCAGCTCTGTTGTGGGGAAGTCGGGACAGAGAAAGTAACTTCTCGTGGCACACGCTCCAAAAAAGAGACTGGAGGGGGAATAATCTTTTCCTGAGGAGGAACATCCCTTAGATGATGCAAAATTTAATAGTCTGTTACAATTGGTTAAAAGAGGGTAAAATACAGGTTGTATAAGCTCTGCTCTTGCCCAGACACAGTAGCTTAGATTTAGCAAAATGAAGGCTTTATGATTTTTATCCTTCTCTCTGTAGTCTTGCCTTTCCTCACACCTTACAAGTCACCAGGGTCCGTGGTTTCCGTCCTAAATGCATGTTTGGCTTGTGTTACAGGGTGGCAAGTGCTGGAGAATTGAACCCAGGGAGGGAGTGATCCCTGCCAACACTGAGATTCCTATGGTCATCACGGCAAACCTGGATGACACAGGGAAATTCGAAGACAGCATGAAGCTGTTCATTGAGAACAGCCTTACCAGTGTCATCCCCATCGAGGCTGTAGGCTTTGGCACCACAGTTACCATTGACAAACCGTTTGCTCCAGAGCTCAAGCTGGAACCCCAGTTCAAGTAAGAAACCTCTTAACTCCTGCCTCCTCTCTTGGCTCAGCAAGGAACAGTTATGCTGTTAGACCTTCAGGCTAAATCTTTTTCAGTGCTTCAGGCCCTGGCTCTGTTTCCCTAAAGCCAGATGTTCCTTTAGAAACATGTTGCTATGCTCAGGTTCCTTAAATTATTAGAGAGACGCCTCTGCCTGAATTAAGAGACCAACGAGACCATATGCCAAAGTCAATAGTACAGATTTTTATTTAACAGTAAATGTGAAGTAGAGAGAGATAGAAAGAAATCGGAGAAAGAAAGAAAGGGAGAGAGAAAGAGAATGACAAAAAACCTGATGCAGTAAAGAAAATATCACCACTCCATGGATTCCAATGGCATCCCACTGATGCTCTTCTTGTGGCCTTCTTGGTGGTGAAGTGTTCTTGAAGTGATGGTTTCACTCTGGATCCATTAAGGGAAGCCCAGGATGGTGAGGGAAAAAGCCCGTGGTGATGAAGGAAGTCCCTTGTGGAGAGGGAAGATGTGGAAATACTACATTAGCAGTATAAACCTATTTCTCTTTGCAATAGCCACATCGGAGGGGCGTCAGACATTATTTCTGACCCACATTAAGAGCGGGAAATGAGAACGGTCTCCAAGCTTTTAACACCTCAGATTGCTCACTAAGAGCACTTGACTGCAGAGAAATAGCAGCTCCCATGACGTTTCCCATCTCTGCTTCTCTTCTAGCTCTGTTCCCTGCATTTTCCGGTTCAACGTAACCAACAAGGGACGGCAGTTCCAGCGGCTGTACTGGGGCACAGAAGGTTTCAGCACCTTTCGACAGCGTCATCCCCTCCCTGCCCTCAGTGTCCCCAGGGGCAAAAATGCTTCCCAGAGACCCAAATCTGCCACCCCCATATTTAAGCTGCGGCCACGGTGTATGCATCTGCAGCCAGGAGAGACCTCGGAGCTGGTGGTGGAAGGCTTCTCCAGCATTGTCCAGGTGAGGTCCCTGCCAAGGGCTGAGCCTTCCCAACAGGTCCCCTCCTCTGGGGCTTCTCCTGCAGCCCCTTGACATTTGCCTGGGAAAATGAGCAAGGGCCTTCAAGAGAGTGTTTAAGGCTACAGGTTTCCATGGCAGCACCAGTGGCTTTCCTTGCTGGCCGCCATCAGTTGCTAAGGCTTTTTTGTGATTCCACGGCTCCCAAAACACAATGCTGATCCCAAAATATGGGCTGAAGGAAGTATTGCTCCTTTGGGGCAAACAGGTTACCAGTGTCACCTGCTGAGGCAGAAAGCAAGGGCAGAGAAAATAGGTTACACCTAAACTAGGAGCCCAGGCAGAAAGTGAATTAAAACAAGTGCCAAGTGGTTTATCAGGGGTAAGCAGGGAGGAAAAGAGAAGCCCTGTGAAGGGAGGGAGTGTCTCCTGAGTGCCTTTTGTGCTATTGGGGGGCAGCGTTACGGACATTGGAGCGCACAAGAAATGGGCTGCAGCACGGGAAGGAGAGGGGGCTGTGTCGGTAACTTTGTGGCCCGTGGTGGGTGAAGAGCCAACACAGGGCATTTGCTGGACACCCTGCCAGCACCACTGGTGACAAGTGACTCTTGCATGCAGGAGGTGCAGGAGAAGCTGGTGTGTTGCACAGCCGTGGGGTCAGATACAGCAATGAAAGAGATAATAAAGACAAAGGTCACCTGCAAGTTCATTTCTGCCACCCTGGAAGTGTCGTCCACTGCAATCGCTTTCCGTGTGGAGAAGGTAGGTCTCTGGATTGCATCCTGGCATTTAACAGCATGAGAGCTCGTGGGGGGTGTGTGCTTGTGTTAACACCCCTCTTTACCCTTTCTGAGGCACTTTGTAAAGTAAGTGAGGATGTTTTTAGAGATGAGACTGGTTTTTAACTTCCTCAAAGTCTAGTTGCAGCTACAGCTGCACTGCTGAGGGGGACCATGGCCACTTGGAGAGAAATGCCAGTTTCTGTGTTCCCTATCAAGGGAGGTTTTTGAGGATCCTCCAACTCATGGTGATGTCTGAACCCCAGTGCTGTAGGGAAGCTGGGAAAACCAGAGATTCTTTTTCTTTGTCTCCTGTTAATATAGTACCCCGATGATGTCCTGACTCTTCAGTACAAGCCTCTGTCTTTAAAAAACACCTGCTGCTTGCCATTCAGCGTCTTGCTGGATGTGGAGGAGCCGTTCCTAGTCTGTGACGTGGACCAGCAGCCCCTCCCTGCAGAGGCTCAGGTGAGCAGCCAAGAACCCTCCTGCCAGTGGGCTTTGAAGAGGGAGGGCTGTTGAAGCGGTGCCCTTCTGCTGGGAGGTCCTCGAGTCGAGAAGTTTATTCCGTAGAATCAGCAGTGGACGGGCCTGAACTGTGAACGGAGTCAGGAGAGCTGCTGAAGGAAACAAAAACTCCTCTGAATTGCAAAAATCCCTCCTGGCTCTAAAACAGGAGGAGAAAGGAGCAGGCAGCCAGGTGTGGGCAAGCCATGCAGCAAAGGTGTCTCCTGGAGAGCAGCCCAGCTCTCTAGCAGCCATCCTCTTGTATTGCTGCCAAGCACAGAAACAGGAGCCTGAGAATCCCCCACCAGAGTGTGGTGCTTGCACTCAGACCCTCCCTTGTAAAGAAAAGAAGGGTGGACTGGGAAGCCCGTGCTGGGGTCCCACTTTGAGCATTTACTGTTTCATGCTGTCAGACCTTGGGACTTCATCGTGTGGGTGATTATTTAACACTCCTTGTGTCCTTGCAGCCTGTGAAGATGGAGGCAGGGGAGGAGCTTCATCTCTATGTTGGCTTTAACCCAGCTCATAAAAAGGATCCGATCAGCTGGGTAATGGAGAAGACTATGAAGATCCGGTTAGTGGAACATCCTCTTGCGGAAGACATCACCGTTCGGGGAGAAGTCTACTTCCCGAATCTTCATATCCCAGCCAAAGAACTGGACTTTGGTTGCATCGAGGGTGGCACAGAAAAAGTGCGTTACCTGGAGATGACCAACTGCAGCCCAATTCCTGCCCACTACCGCTGGTCATTCCAGATGGACAGCGTGGAGTACCCGAAAGGGTATGTGCACCTTTGCCCTCTCCTGGAAGCCCTTTTTCTTGGTGTCCTGTTTGTGCTTTGCAAAAACCAAAGCTGTTTGCCTGGGATCTGACAAACCGCTTTTGACTTTGCCTTGTGGAAATAACAGTGACCAGCCGTGGTCAGGCTGGATGCTCAGCCTTGGCCTGGAAGTGCTGGAGGCTGCCCAGAAAGTCCCAATTCACATCACAGAAAGAGCTAGTTAGCACCTGAGCTGATGCTGAATATCTTGTGACCTTCCCCTTCTTTCTTCTTCTCTGAGACACCTTTCTGAGCACCTGCACCCACCTGGGGGCTGCATCTTGATGAGGAGCTGCTCGTGCAGGTTGCCCTCCCTCCCACTGCAGGTCTGTGATCATAGTTACGTTATTTTCCAGGTTCATCCCTTCCCCACCATCAAAACCCCAACCACAAATGGCCAAATTCGGCTGTGTTGAGTGTGGGCGTTATTCAAGGAGATACTCCAGGCCTGGAAGTGTGCAGGAGCCAGCCAAAGCCCCAAAAGCAGCGCAGGACTCTCCCCAGCAGTCATCACATTCAGAGAAGTGCCTGGAAACAGAAGAGGATTCTTCTGAAGAGTCTTCAGATTCAGAGGACTCTCTGGAAACAGATGATGATTCTTCTGAAGAGTCATCAGATGGAGAGGACTCCCTGGAAACAGAGGACGATTCTTCTGAAGAGTCATCAGATGGAGAGGATTCGCCGGAAACAAAGCAGGATTCTTCTGAACAGTCACCAGATTCAGAGGATTCTCCGGAAACAAAGCAGGATTCTTCTGAACAGCCACCAGATTCAGAGGACTCCCCGGAAGCAAAGGTGGATTTTCTTGTGCACCTGACGCTTGTGTTGCTGCCCCAGCTTGCCACCAAAAAGCCGTGCTTGTGCCGACCTCCCCTTTTGCTGCCCAGCTGTTCTGTGCCCTGAGAGTGGGCTGGGCAGCAGGGCCAGTGGCTGGACATGGGGTATCTGGGGAGGGAGAAATAGGATACTTTTCCTTGGAGAAGCCCACTCAGATCCTACAGACCTATGCTGAGTTTGGGATTTCTTTGGCTTGTTCTCTTTACAATGTAAAATGAGGCTTTCCTGCCTCATGATTAGAAGGCTTCCAGTTTCCTTCCTGTAGCAAGCCGTGCCAAATCCTGATCTCCCTGTACCCCCTTCCCAACCCAGCTAGACCACCCATTTTCAGGTCTCTGCCTTCACACAAGAGCTGGTATTGCAGTGACAACCCCAGAGCTGCCTTTCATACAAGTGAGACTTGGCAAGGTGGCTGTGTCCTGGACTGGAAAGTGGCTTGTCTTCCAGGTGCCGCCAGACACTGTTGCAGAGTCTCGGAGCTCTGTGGAGACGAAGGGATCTGGGCAGTCATCGGAGACAAAGCCCTCTGGTTTCAGAGCAGAGGAGGTAAGTGGGAATCTCTCTCACTTGCACATTTTCAGCGTGGCAAGCAGGTCTGTTGCCCCCACAGGTACAGAACTCCCTCTGCAGCACCCATGGAGGGCATTGCTCCCCTTGTACCTCATCAGGGGCTCAACAGGATATTTTTCAGGAGCTTTTGGTATAGCACCTTGAGAGAGCAGCCTGTAAGTCAGAGAGAGAGGCAAAAGCCTCAGGAGTCAGATGAGCTGGGCTGGAGTCCTCCCCTCAGCTCCAAGAGCTCTCACCTCTGAGTCTCCTGCTTTTCTGAAGGCAGCAAAAACTGGTTTTAAAGGCAAGTTCTGCAGCAGAGAGAATGTCTTGCTGCCAGGAGACATCCCAGTTTACTTTAATGTCTGGTATTAATTGGTGCATTGATCAGTGAGTATGGCAGAAGATTTTTGCCATGCTCCCTCCACTGGTCAGTGATGTGGAGGCAGGATGAGATTAGGATGCTTCAGGCTGGTGTGTGAGGGACAGGCCCCTCCAGCTACGGTTGTACTTTGCTCCAAGCCATGGCTGCTCTTCTGCACCCATTTCCATACTCAATGACTCGATCTCTCCTCCCCTTCCCAGGTTTTCAATGTCCAGCCGGTGTCTGGTGTGCTGGAGCCGGGCAAGAGCCAGCAGGTGCCCTTCACCTTCTTTGGCCACACCAACATCATCGCCCGTGTCACGGCGCTGTGCCAGGTGGAGGGAGGCCCGACCTACCAGGTGGAGCTGAAGGGGGAGACTTCGGTCCTCACCTACCAACTGAGTGTTGAGGAGATCAACTTTGGGCTGCAGGTACCACTCCCTTCTCCTGGCAGAGCTGCTGCCTTGGAACCATCACCAGCAGGTTGCTGCCCACCCCTTCCCAGCTCCTTTGCTGGCTCTGGGGCTTGGAAGTACAACCTTTGAGGGATATGTCTGGCCTCCAGACTGCTTTGGAATGGCCATCTCCACCCCCTTCCATGGCTGTTACTGCACCTTTGTGTGCCGCCAGAACTCTCTGTTCCTGAGCAGGTCCTTATGCCTGGGGGTTCCCCAGGTTCCCAAGTGCCTGTAGCTTGTCCCTGTCCCTGCTCCTGTGGTGTGTCTCCTCTCAACCCCATGAAAGACGAAGAAGAAAATTCCCAGCAGCAGGCCTGTGTCTGTAACTTCCCACTCCTCTGTCCTCTCTTCAGCTCTTTAACGAAGTCATCACATCAGAGGTCACCCTGCAGAACAAGGGGAAGATCGGATTCACCTACACGGTACAGAGCCCCAGCACTGGCACTGCAGACAACCCTCTGCCTGGTGTGCTCGTGGTCGTGCCCGACACAGTGAGTGACACAATTGACTGACCCCAGCCCTGTGTCAGGTGGCCAAGGAGGAGGGCTAAAGAGAAGAAAGGGGGGTAAAAAGGGGGAAAAGAAAACCAAGCCCAGCCATGAGAGACAGGGCTGTAAGCAATTGCAGCTAGGGACAGAGAAGGTCAAGTAGGTGCCATCCTAACAGACTCCCCCGTGGCCTTGGCTGGCGAGTGGCTCTGCCATCACAGGGCAGCCACCGGCGGGAGGCACGAACGCGTTGGTCACTCCCTGGCCCCTGATTGCTGAGCTCTGTGGCTGTGCTGCCACTGAGGCTCTTCTGAGGGTCACCTTACCCCAGCTGTGGGATCAGACAGGACTTATTCCTTGCCCATGCCTCCCCCCTGCCATCACTAAGCAGCACTTACAAATTCCTTGCTTGGGCTTGAAGCTCCTTTGCCAGAAATTGTCGCAGGCCCTGTGCTGGTCCTGCCTTGCGTCCAGCTATTGTGCTCTGTAGCAGCTTTGTGGGGCAGTGAGGGGGCCAGGGAGTAGTGGGGGGGCTGGAAGAGCAAAGGGAGGAATTTGGAGCGTCCCAGCTTCTCAGTGCTGCCTGGATGTCCTTGAGGTGAAGCAGAGTTCCTGTCTTTGTCTCTCTTTGCAATGGGAAGAGGAAGCCGATTGGCTTTCCCATTTCTTCATGCCTGTCTCCTGTCACAAGGGGTGACAGGAGCTGCTGCCCCTGCTGAGAGCGTGGGCACTTCACTCCTCTTCCCTCAGTGGTGGCAAAAGAGCTTTTATCTGTTCAGCCTGGCTCTTGCTGGCAGAGGACAAACCCCATTAGCAGCAGAGCTGTGCTCACGCTGAGCACAGGGCAGGCTCTGCTGGGGTGCAGCCTTATGAGCCCTCAGAAGGGCACACTGCACCCTCACATTGGAGCCTCTTCTCAGCCCTGCTGTCGTCTGAGCCATCCTGCATCAAAGCCTCTTCGATGCATTGCCTCCCTCTTCTCCTGTCCCTGCAGGCTTACATTGAACCTGGCGAGGAGCAAGTGCTGAAGCTCCATTACCTGCCAGGAGTGCCAGGAGTCTTCTGCAGGACTTTCAAGGTTCAAGTGGACAACCTGAAACCGGCAGAAATCTCCCTGAAGGGAGAGGCAGTCTTTGCTGGGATCTGTATGAATCTGCCCTGGAGCATCAAAGGTGAGCACTGCCCATCTGCCCCCCAGCAAAGTCCCTGCCGGGGTTTTTTCCCTACCATAACACCCAGAGGGCAACTCACACCCATCTCCACCAAGCCTGGAGGTTTCAGGGCTGTCAGGCCAACACTCACCCCTCTGGTTGCTTCCTGAGTCTTGAGCAGACAAGCACATGTAGGCTGTGCCCCAGGAACCATCCTGCAGATCTTGCCAGCACATCTGTCAGAGGCCTGCAAAGATGGCTAGACAGAAAAGCTTAGGAAAGCTGTAAGAGACTGGCAGGGCTTTTGACAGGGTTGGATTTGCATGACACTGCAGAGAATGAGATGCTCCTCTCTGGGGAGGAAGATGGGGGGAGTGAACATGAGGATTCAGAGACGAGCAGCAGTGTCTGCTCTCCGTAGATGGCTTTCCATTGATGGTTTGTTTCTGGGAGAGACCAGAATTTGGGGGAGTGGGACTTCTCAGCTTTAATGGCATTGGCACTGCACCCACACTTCTATTTGTGAATGTTTTCTTCCTTCAGGAAATAAAAAATACAAGGAGCTATTGAAACAGGCAAAAGGCAAGCTGAAAAAAGACATTCGGGAGAGGAAAGCAAGTATTTGGAGGAAGCTTCCAGTCAGGAGGCAACACGTGAAGGGCCGTGGCATTGTGGTAAGAACAGCTGCAGTCTGTGTCACTTGAGCCCCTGGCACCCCACAACAGCCTCTTGGTGCCCTGCTGGCACCTGTGGCCTCCCTGCCCACACCTGGCCACACACAGGCACCAGCTCAGCGCTGCCCCACCTCTGGTCATGGTCTCTCCTGGAGATGTACCAAGCTTCCTGGCTGCTCCCCTTACTGGGGAGCTTTTTGCTCCCAAATCAAGCCCTAGCAGGTTTACAGACCTTAGTAGCAGCAGCCTGACTGTGCCCTGGGACTGTGCTGGCAGTGCTCAGCTCCAAGAGCCACCAGCTCGGTTGGGGTTCCCTTTTCAAGGCAGCTTTTGTCCAAGCTGCTTTGGCACTGACTGGGGACAGGCAAATTCCTGAAGCTCTGGAAGGTTTCTGGCTCGTCTGTCTGGCCAGATCAGCTTTTCTAGCAGTGGGTGGGAAGGCAAAGATGCTGCAGTTATTTCCCTGGAGAGAAGGTCCTGGCTAAGAGCAGAATGTGTCATGGACACTGAGCAGCCAGACAGGAGGACCCCATTCGCCCTCTCAACAAGAGCAGGGTGGGATCCTCTTTCAGATACAAGGCTGGGCCTTGTGAAGGGCCTTTGCTAACCAGCCACTGCCTTGCCTTCCCTCAGTCCAACATTTGGCTGCGGATGCAGATGGAGGAGATGCTGATAAAGGAAGATGCTCAGGAGCAATACCAAATTCTCATCTCCCGCCCCCCAGAGGACACTGTCTTTGACAAGCACATTGCTCAGAAGCTTGTCCAGTGAGTAGGGACTCCTCTCCCCTCTCTGCAGGTGCCCTGAGGGCAACACCCAGCAGTGTCCCCTGCTCCTGAGAGCTCCTTGTGCATGCAGAGCTGGGAGCAGTGGGCACTTCAGAAAGGGTCTGATCCCAATAGCTGTGACAACAGTAGCTCGTGAGCAGCTGACTGTCTTCCCTTCCTCAGTGCCACGCTGAGTTTGGAGCTGCTCAGCTCCCCACAGGTGCAGGGTCCTGTTCTTAGAGCTCAGGGGGCCCAGAGCAGACCATCAAGCCCTTCCAGACAGCACAGACACTGTCCTTGCTGACCAGCTCTGAAAGAGAACTCCGAGCTGCTCTCTTGGTTCTGACTAACAGAGCACTCTAAGCAGAAGGTGGCTTTGATGCTGGTGGGGTGGCGGGGCTTATCTGGGTAACTTGGTCCTTCCCTTTGCTCCTTGATGATGCTGCATGGGCATGGGAGGCTCCAGTTCAGGAAGAAGATAGATGCTTTGCAAAACAGATCCTTCATGTGCCCTGGTTGCAGAGCAGTGAAGTTTTCCTGTGCAAGCAAATTTTATTCCAAGGCTCGGAAGCAATGTCAGGCTTGGGCTGTACACCAGCAGAAGCGGTTTCACTGAGACCACTAGAGGTCCAGTGGTCTCATCCATACACTGGCTTCTTGTAGTAGAGGAGCTGTGACCAGAGTCTATTTAAAACTAATTTTAGTTTTGGGTCCCATTGGGAGCTGATGAAACCTAGGACCTGCACTCCCCGTAACTTCCCAAAGTCATTGCCAGGTGGTCAGGCCTTGGGTTTCATAAGCTTGAGTTGAGTTTTTACAGCAGTCAGTACAGAAATATCCGCTTTATTTAAATCTTCCATCTGCTTGAACGTGTAGCCGAGCTGTTGTTTAAGGACTGTCCTTACTCCTCCTTCCAGACTCAAGCTGCCCGAGTACATCCTGGACATGGGCACTGTCGTTCAGGGCTACAGTAAAACCTGCACTGTGCAGGTCACCAACACCTGGACGTACCCCGTGGCCGTCCAGGCCAAGGAACGTGCCCTGCATAACACAGGTAACCAGTGCTGGAGAGACTTCCCGTGGGCTGCATGGAGCTGTCTGACAGATTAGCTTAAGCCACTGCACATGAGGAGGTTTTTTGAGCTTCTTCCTTCCCAGTGCCCCTGCTGGGAACCTGAGAGCCAGAGTTCTCCTGGCCAGGTGTGCCCAGGGACCTGGCCTGCCCGTGGCTGCCCTGATGCTTCCCTGCAGGGGCCTGATGAGCTGATTACCCTCCTCACCTGCCAGCATCCTCCACCTTTGGTTCCCATTGGCATCAAGTTTCTTTGGGCACTCTGGGAGTGTGTTGCAAACAGATGGGATCTGTTGTGGTTGAGTTCACACTGTCACAGCTCTTGTGTTCAGCCTTTATTGAGGAAACAGCCTGTTTGATCCTCTGGTGGATCAAAGTAGGCTTCCAAAAGAGGCCTGGAGGCAAATCTGCACTCCCATCACAGAGTGGCTCGCTGTGTCTGAGGGCTGCTCAGGTGTCTCCTCTATGTTTCTGTCCTGGGAACAGCACAGCATGGGGTTTTTCCCAGGGCTCCCAGCAGGACACCCGTTAAGGCTTAACAGGCTTATGACACGTTTCATGTTGCTTGTGTATCTCAGCTGCTTTGTTTTCATCTGTTCAAGGTTTCAGCATACACCTGGAGCCCATGAAGTTCCTGGTCTACGGCGCCAGCAGGCTGTTTCAAGTGAACTTTGAAAGTGCCAACCTGCCAGTGGGAAAGGTGGATGTGCTCCTGCCCATCAAGGTACTGCAACTTTTGGGATAGGCAGCAGGCTGGGCACAGCAGCACACGTCAGCTGGACTCTCATCTGAATTCTCTGTCCTTCTTCAGGTGGAGAAAGGCCCCACGCTGCACATCCGCCTCCGTGCCACTGTGGTTCAGCTGTTGCTCAGCGTCTCCAGGGACAGCATAGAGTTCCCCGATGTCCAGGTTGGGCAGAGCCAGTATGAAATAGTCCGGCTCTACAACCACTTTGACGCGCCCTGTGAATGGTCCATCACTGTCAACAAACCTGACAAGAAGGTAAAGCACAGGCGAACGTAACGTGCAGCTTCGCGTTGGGTTTTCTTTGCACCCCTTGCCCTTTTCTGTGCCTCAGCACTTGGGCTGCAGCGTGTTTGAGGAAGCTTTTGAGGGTCCAGGTCAAGGCCGGTTTGCCTGGACCTGTTCCACTGGCTGATGCTTTGCTTCTCTGCCATCTTCACCCATTCCTCCTCCTCCTCTGAGGACAGGACGGTGGCTCCCCATCTGCTTGCCCTGCCTCCAGGTTTCCCCTCCAGTTCTAGACCGTGGGGGCCTTGCCAGGTTTGCTGTGGGTGCTCTCAGCACCGGGAAAGGATCTCAGAGCACTGTCCTCACAGACCAAGGAGACCTCACAGGACTGGTTTCTGTGCTTAGGTGGAAAAACGTCCGAAGGAACTCAAGGCTGGGAAGGATGTCTTTCAGTTGAAGGCCTGTGAGGGAACCCTTTATGGCAGAGAGTGGTATGATCTTCAGATCCAGTTTACACCCCAGGAAGAGGTGAGATTGGCAGGTGCCGCCCCTGGAGTTCTGTCAGGGCAGGGTGGTAAGAAGAGCCCAACGCAGGGAGTGGCAGATGAGCTCTTCCTCCACAGGCAGCTTTCTGGAAGCCCTGCACTCACTGTGCCTCAGCTTCCCCTGCAGCACACCCTTCTGAGAGGTGCCTTGAAATCCCCACAGAGAACATCAGGGCACTGTGCTGTGGCTGCCTCTCTGCACATGGGAGGAGATCAGATCTGCCTGATTCCCCTTGTCCTCCCCCTTGCCTGGCTGTATTTGCAGCCTGCGGCGCTGGGTGCAGAGGAGCTGGCACAGTCATAGGGGATCAACCTGGAAGGGCCAGTGCTGGCTTGTCCTGCTGCTGGCACCGACAGACAAAACAGCCACCAGACACCTTCCTGGGCACGGCAGGACAGTCACCTGTAGTGGTGTGGTGCCAGCAGTCCCTGGGGCTCCGGCCCAGCCTGCCTGCATGTTGCCATGCGGTTGGGGAGTCAACTTAAAGGATGGAGCATTCCCAAAAGCTATTTGCATGTGGCCACTGGGACTTGGAAACTGACAGTGTGTAACAGCATGGACACAAGTGCTTCCATGCCCAAGAACAGTCCCAGGGATCTTTTCATTGCTAGAGAGATGTGAGCAACCCTCTTGTGTCAGGCTTTGACCAGAGCCAAACACTGAGTAGAGAAGAGGACCTTTATTTCTAGCCAGCGAGAGCTCCTCTGCCTCTCTCATGGAGCTGGTGTTTGCCTGATGCATCAGTGCCAGGGCTGAGGGCCTTTCTCATGTGCTCCTCCGTGACTAGGGGAGAACATCTGATAACCCATTTTACACCCATCTGATACCCAAATGCCCAGTTACACTGCACACCAGAATTCATCCCAGTTACTCAGAGTCAAGGACACAGATGCTGTAGCCCCTAGCATAAGTAAATATCTGGGTTTCCATTCCCCCCGGGGGACTGAGAACACCCCTGACCATTGGGCAAGGGTTATACTTGGGGTCCTGTCACCTAGGACTTCATGGACGAGTTTTCGGTACTTTTCTCTTTGCAGAAATCCTACAAAACCGAGCTGAAGATCAACATTCGTGGGAACAGCCAGCTCCTCGTGCTGCACGTCTCAGGACAGGGTCTCGAGCCACAGCTGGAGTTCAGCCCCGCAGAGATCAATCTGGGAGCGCTGCTGCCGTGCAGCTCTGAGCTGGAGAGGACAGTGGTGGTGAAGAACCCCTGCAAGTTCCCCATTGAATTTTACTCGCTGGAGTTTGATGAGGAGTACCGTGAGGAGGAGAAGGTGAGAGGGAAGGTCTGGTCCCCATGTGCATGCTCCCCAAGCTCTGCAGCACTCCAGCCTTCCCAGGCCTGTGCCAGGGAGATGGAGACAATCCCCAGGGCAAAGCCTGGGGGCACTCTGAGGTGAGCCATCTCTGCTGGCAGTCTGTGGAGGGGCTTGGATAGCCTGTGTTGTTGGGAGGAAGGCAGGAGGGAGGGAGAAGATGGGCTGAGTCTGTTGGTGTGATGGAGGTTGATGAAGGAATCTCATGGATGGTTCCTCTTCCCCACGCACACAGATCCTGCGCACGCTGGAGGAGTTTGGAGACCGGACGGCCTTGATGATACCTCCACGCGCTGTGGGTGAGAAGCTGCCTCCAGAGGTGCTGGAATACTATGAGAAATGGAAGCTGATGGAGGCTCTGGGCCAAGAGATTATATCCCAGCGCAAGGAAGAATCAGGCCAGGACAATGGTAAGGGTTTGGCATGGCTGTTCTGACTGTGGACATAGCAGGGAGCCCAGCCCACACACCCTGAGCTTTCTGTCGCCTTGTTCTCCATGCAAAGCCCATGCTTTTAGCAGCCATCTGATCTCCTGCCTAGTGGAGGAATTCCTGGGTGAAGGGCTGTGGCATCCTCTACCAACCTGGAGTGTAACCAAAGCCAGGTCCTATCTGCCTGCCATGGACTGGGGAAATACTCAGGATATTCCCTTGCGTCCCTTATCTGATGCTACTCTTTGTGGCTGAGCTCTTCAGCCAGGAGGACCAGGTCTAATGTCACTGGCTCTTTTATATTTGCTCCCAGCAACAAAAGCACAAGCTCACGTTGCTTTCAGCCATCTCCTTTCCTGGGATCTGAGGGGATAGGAGGATGATCAGGATCAAAGGTAGGCAGGAGGCTGACTTTTCTACTGGTTCATTACAGCAGTGCTTCAGGAGAGCATCAGGTTGTTGAAGGACATGTTGGACAAGTGTGAGCGCCCCATCGATCAGGCCATCAGGCGCTACCTCGACACCAATCCCTTTATAGAAGAGTTCAGAGCCCAAAAGCCCAAAGGGATTGCCATCATCGTCTATGGGACACCCCGGACAGGTACGTGAGCCACAGCCCTGGGCTGCAAGGAGAGGGGGAAGCAGGAGAGATGCATCCTAGTGGGCCATGGGGCCTGAGACAAAGTCCTCAGCTGAATATGAGGTGCAGAATATCCACCTGGCTCTGGGGTTCGATGCTCCTAACCACACGCAAGCTGCCTCCCTTGCGGTCTCCCCTAGAGGGACATTTGCTTTCCCACCGTCCTTGACACCTGCTTGTGAGTTTTCCAGAGCCCTGTCCATGAAAATGCCTCATGTGCAAGTGTCACCAAGCAGTCTTCCTCTCTCTCTCTCAGGAAAGACCAGGGTCGCGGCCGCCCTGTCCAGGTATTACGGTGCCGCCTGCTTGTCCCTCGACCAGATAGTGACAGAAGCCATGCTGGACATTGGCAGTTTGGTGGGGCGCCGTGCCCGGCACGTGTGCGTGGAGGCTGCCCAACAGGAAATAGCCATGGGAAAACAGATGCCAGGTAAGGAGAAACGCTGGAGCCAGAGCACACTTAGGGAGCCACCACGACCTTCTGCTTGCTCAGAGAAGTAGTTTGACAGCCCTTGGGTCTGTTAGGGAATGTGGGTGCTGTGCATCTCTGGCTAGTTTTAAAATAAAAAGCTCAATTTTAAGGCCTCTGACGGGCACTTTCACTGCCATTCTTGGCACATAATCCTCTTCCTAGGAGTGGTCAAGCACACCTGTTTCTTCCTCTGAATTTTTAATATTTCCTCAAAGCTGAATCCAGCTTGCTCCTCATGGGCAGCAGGCAGAACCACTGCCCACCTTAAGGAGGAAAAAGCCCTCTGAAGTGGCTCATTTAGAACAAGACAGCTCTGAGTTGTGGCCTTGCAAATGTGAGAGGAAGGGAAGAATAACCTCCCAGAGGAGGTTCCAAGGAGAGACATGCTGTAGATAAGCTCTTTTCTCCAGAGATTTTCCTATGCCCACTGTCAGGTCACAGAGCTTGTGCACGCTCTGCTGTTCTCCAGATCAGACTGGACACTTTTAGGAAACTTTACTGGGCAGTTGGTGTCCTGAGCTCTGCAGGGTGAAGCCAGACCTGCTCAGTGAGGGCAGGAGTTTTGCATTGCTCCGTTTTGAACCTGGTTGGGTTCAGAGCTGGTGGAAGGAAGAAGAGTCTGGATCCCAGCTGGGCTTTTCCCACATGGAGGATTTAGCTCCAGCAGAGACGGGTGATGCAGCTGGGGCAGGGCTGCATGTTACAGTCTCCATGTGAAAATGCAGGATGGGAAACAATGGTCCTGGAGGACAGATCTTTGGCTTGATCCATAGGGGAGCTCCTGTGCTAGCAGCGTGCATGTTTGTCAGGAGGGACCTAGAGCTGGCCTTAAAATCCAGTATGGGCTGGTGTGCTTTATCCTGTGGATAAGCAGGGAAGGAGCTGCTTCTGGGAAGCAGTGCTGCTAGTGCCCAGCAGGCTGGGGGACAAGTGCCATGTCCCTTCCAGGGGGCAAAGCTGTTCCCGTTGGGGTGGAAGGTGCCTGCTTGCTCCTCACAGCCCTGCTGAGTCACCTGTCCCCTCTGCAGGTAAAAAGGATGCTCAGACCAAGAAAACCCAGCCCAGCTCTAGGGACAAAGCTGGCCAGACAACCTCCCATGCCGGACCCCAGAGCACTTCAGCAGCCAAGGATAAGGCATCCAGCAAATCTCAGGCAAGATTTTCAGTGACCTCCAAGGGGAAACATGATCTGCACTGGTTAATGCCTGGGACCTTCCCGTTGCCTTTGGGATGGGACGGGGCTGCTTACAGTGGAGGCTCTGTGTCACCAAGGGCCTGGTGCAGGGTCTATAGTGCCAAGAGCCAGCTGGGCGTGGCTTGGGGCAGGAATGTGCTCTGGCAGAAAAACTCCATTGGTTCTTAATGGTTTGTTGGCAAAGTGCATTCCTGGCTAACTTGGCTGCAGGCGGCAAGCAAAGCTGTGGGAGGCTGTGCCAGGGGCTTGCAAGCTTGGGTCTCTGCTGGCCAAGGGATGGGCCCTCCAGGGCTGTCCCCTGCCGCTGCCAGCCTGCACTGCAGGGTTGTCCAGATGCGAGCCCAGCAGTAGGAATTTTCCAGGGGTTTATTTTTCTTACCATGTTCCACATTGCAGATCGAAAGTGTTGCCACTGCTCCTGCACCACAGCCATTGAGCTTCTATGCCTGGAGGGGGAAGAGGAAGGAAAGGCTGGAGTGTTGGACCCGTGTGCTGCCTGAGAAATTGCTGGTGGATATCATCTCTGATCGGCTGCAGGTATGTGGTGTGGGGGAAATGGAGACGTTCCTGCTCCAGAGAGACAGGCAGTGAGGTAGGTACACCTCGGAGAGGAGGAGGTCTGTGCCTGCTGCTGGAGGATCCTGTGCTGCATGCAGGGATCCTTGGGGGAAGCTGCAGATGCCCTAAGTTGGCAGAGTGTAGTGCAAGACCCAAGCTGACAACTGTGAATGACAGTGGCTGGTGCCCTGAGACATCTGCATTTACTGACCTGCTGCGAGCCCAACGTGTGCGATGGCTGACTTACTCTTCCTGTTTGTCTCTCCTGGCAGCGGAGGGACTGCTACAAGGGAGTGGTGTTTGATGGCCTGGAGACCCTCTTTGCGAGCAACCTGGCATCTTCTCTCTTGTGCGTGCTCAAAGCTCTCGGTGACCGCCCTCATATCTACGCTGTGAACATCTTCCAGGATTCTGAGTTCTGGAAAGGCAGGCAGAGAGCTGCAAGAGAGAGGAGGACCGCTAAAAAAGTGTGGAAAGGTGAGATATCTCCATCCCTCTCATCTCTCAAGCCCTCAACCTTATCTGTGTGTATATCTGTGTTTGCAGCAGAGCTTGTAAGAAATCTTTTTCTTGACCCTTCCACTTTCTGCCTCAGTGTAGCCAGCACTTAGCTCACAGTTTCTTTAAATACAGCAGTTCTGAGGCTGTAAGACTCACCTTAATCATTAAAGCTTGGGTACAAGTGCAAGCTGGCGTGGCTCAGTGACTAACCCCAGCCAGCTGTCCACAGCCACAGTGCACCTGAGCCAGGCCACAGTTTGGGGGGCTGTCTGAATTTTGGAGCAGGGATGTGAGCTCTGCAGTGTCTCCTGGCAGGATGAGAGGCTGGGTCAGGAAAGAGCTGTGAATCCTCACAGCTGACCCAGACCAGGCTCTGCTTGCAGTCACTAATGGCTTTTCTTGTGGTCTGTGCTGAAGCACGGGAGAAGGCAGAAGCTGCCCGGAGAAAGGAAGAACGCCTCTGGGATGTGGATGTGGACGAGTACAACGCCCTCCCTGAGTGGAAGAAAGCTCTGCTTGATTACAAAATAGAAAAGATTAAGCGTCAGCGGCGTAAGAAGTAAGTGAGCCTCCCCTGGGTTACTCCTCAGGTAGTGTCCCTGGAGGGTTTCTCTGCTCCAAGGACCTTAGTTGAGCTCAGAGGGGTTCAGGAGCAAAGGCCAGAAGCAGCACAAGGATGGCCAGGGCCAGGTCCCTAGTTCCCAAGAGAGGAAGGACCATCTCTGTTGAGATGAGAACATCATCTCTCCATTTTAGCCATGAGCCCTCTGGCTTAGACATGGCCTGTGGGAAGCTGGGCTCTGGCCATGCCTTGCCACTGCCCACAGAAGTGTCTCGAAATCCCTGATGTTGATTCTCATCTTCTTCATCATCCCCCTTCTTCACCAAACCAGCAGGATTGGGGTGTGGGCTGGTGTGGGACACAGCTGTGCTGGCTTGCTTTGGACCCTGGTCCTGCTGTAGATGAAGTCCTTGCAATGCTGGTCTGCCAGGGGGTTTCCTTAGGGTGGAGCAACATCCATAAAAGCTTAGGCTGCCCTTCAGCTGCAGCAGCAGCTGAACCCAGGAGAAGCTCTGGCCCAGCAAGGTAGCCCAGTTCAGGAGGACGCCCAGGAAGAGTGTGGAGCTGGGAGGGGAAGCTGCTTAAAATGAGCATGTGTTTCAGCACTTCTCTCAGCCCAGGCTGATGTTTGTTGCACTGGGAGGAGATGGCCAGGGCTGCTTCAAATCAGTTTTCAGGACAGACAGCATAAGTGTGCCCTGGTCACAGCTGTGTTACAGCAGGAAACCTGGTGGTTTAGAGCTTGATTTGCAGGAGGGGAGTTCCTGCAGCCTTTGCTTTCTGGTTGCTGTGATTATTCTCAATAATGAGCAGGCTCTGCCCAGGGAGAAGGAGGTTGAAGAAGCCAAGTAGGCACTGGAGGAGGGATAAGTAGGTGTTAGCAATTTATGGGCAGGTTTAACCTGGGAAACCAAGGGAGGGGGGGCTTCATTCATCACTGCAGAGAGATGGTGGATCAGCCTTTGGCAGCGTGCTGAAGGTGCCTGGGTGGACCTCAGGGGAGAAGTTGCACAGTTGATACCTTCCTTATGATGGCAAGGCTTAGGTTTGGCTAGCCCAGGAGGTTGCCTCCCAGCCTTCCTCACTTGAGATGTTCCCAAGCTCTCTGGGTTGAGGAAGGTCCATGGAGATGGTCTGACAGTTCTGCCTGGCCTCAGGGTCAAGGAGTGAAGGGCAGAGCCAGCTGGGATTACAGTGAGCCCAGGTTTCTGGTGGTGACTCTCAGAGTTGTTTTCTCTTTGACTTGCAGAAGGGAGCTTGAGCAGCTGGCTCGGGAGCGTGAGGAAAGCAAAAAGGTGACATCACAAGCCTCAAAGAAGCAAGATAAGCAACAGGAGAAGAAGACTGGCCGCTCAGTGAAGTTACCCGCAAAACCACAGCAGAAGGAAACCAAAACCCCAGAGGTCCAGGGCAAGCTCAAAAAACCAGCAGCAGCAAAACCACAGCAGAAGGAAACCAAAGGCCCACAGGTCCAAAGTAAGGGCAAAAAACCAGCAGCAGCAAAACAACAGCAGCAGGACACCAAAATCCCAGAGGTCCCGAGTGAGCGTGAGAGGATCTTGGACCTGAGGTTTAACATCTATGAGTCTTCGCAGAAGAACATCGGACATATTCTGTCATCCTGGGACAGGGTTCAGGGTATCATGAACCAAGTGGAAGACAAGTCCCAGTCTTCCCCTAAACGCAAAGACGAGAAGAACAGGAAGTCTCCAGAGAAGCCAGAGAAGGAGCCTCTGGAAAAACATGGCGACTGTGAGAGTCTTCAGCAGGAAGGGGAAGTTGCAGAAGGCTCAGTCGCAAGCCAGGACATTGGAGTACCCTGCTTGGACTTCCACTTAACACGTCATCAGAAGGTGTTAAGGAGGATCATGAAGAGCAAGAAGCTGCCACCAGCAAAGCAGGTAAAACCCTGCAAGGCTCAGATGCTGAACTTGCCGTGGTCTGGGGCCCTGGAACAGTGCGTCCCCCAGGTGATAACAACACAGAGAGAGCCTTGTCCGGGCCACTGATGATGTTCCACAACAGCTCCGCAGTATCTCTGTGGATGGCGAGGTTCTCCCCCTCCCTCAGATGCGTGGAAAGGGGGAGTGCTCTGTGTCCCAGGGCAGGGGCAGCCCACAGGCATTGTTCCCTTCAGCTGAGTCATTTGGGAGAGATTTCTCTCTTGGTCCCACTGTAGGTCCTGCCTCTGCTCTGGAGCCTGCTAACCCACTGGGCATAAAAAAGCACTTGTAGTCTGTATAAATCAAAAACTCCACTGCCAAAAGCTCAGGGCCCTTAGAGAAGGAGTGTGAGGATGAAGGTGACAGGAGTATAAACAGGGTTTTCTCTTCTGTTTTAGATCCTGAACTCTCTGGGACTGGGTCCCTTAGGGCCTCCCATTCCCCCTGGAGTTCTTTTCTCCGTGATCCTCTACCCAGAGGAGGACAGAGTGCCCGCAGCAGCAGAAGAGCTCAGACACTTCATCCTTGTTGAACCTGAATATGCTGCCACAGATAATGATGTGGTGGGTACTCCTTTTGTGCCTTCAATGCAGGTGCCAGGGCAGGGGTCAGGTTGGATGGAAAAGGGTCACCATGGAGGGGCAATGAAGACATGATGGGGCCCCATGTCTGCAGGCATCCTTTCCACCAGGGATGAGAGAACAGAGACAGCTCTGCTGGAGACATAGAGCAGTTCTGTAAGACAGCAGGAAAAAAATCACTTAAACCCATCACCTTGCCTTGATGAGAGGGGACTTGGTGGGGAGAGGGTCCTGGGAAAGGAGGGGTGTCCGAGGCAAGACAAAGACGAATAAGGAAGACCAAGTCCATGGGCGGGTGGTGATTATTTATTCTCTCTCCTGTTGGCTAACAAACTCCCATTCTGCTTTCCAGGAGGGGGTTGTCTCAGGGCAGGTCTCACCTCTCTCTCCCTTTTCTCTCTCCCCATATGCCAAGGTCTCAGAGGCAGAGGCACAGGACCCCTTGAGCGAGGAGAGTGGCACGAGCAGCACCCAGGAAAAGCAGAGCTCCACCCAGAGCACAGAAAGTCTGCAGGATCACTCCCCAGAAACACGCAAAAGTTCACTTGAGTCAATGGAAAGCCAACTGCAGAGTGGCTCAACCCTGGAGGGACCTGACAGGTGAGCTGAAAGGGAGGAGGTGATCCCTGTGCTTCACGCTCATCCTGCCAAACAAGGTCCATCGTCCTCAGCTCCGCAGTGACCCTCTGCCAGTGCCCCCATGGGATGGCGAGTGCACAGCCCTCCTCCTTGTCTCCTTTGCTCCTTAGCAATGTCTGAAGCTTCCTTTTTACCTGCCAGGCTGAGAAGATTCCGGTGGATAGTTCCTGCCCACGGTGAGGTGGAACTGAAGATTCGCTTCAGCGCCACAGTACCGGGGCAGTTTGACCAGATGATGAATTTTGAGATCCTGGGGACAAAGCGCTTGTACCAGTTGCCCTGCAGTGCCACTGCCCTGTACCCCAGCATCAGCCAGAACCCACGGTAAGGCCGGGCCACAGGAGCATCCCACACCGCTCCCCCCGACCTGGGAGCCAGGGCTGCCCCTTGTGGCCTTCTGGCTGGGGCAGATGGTGCTGCCTGAGTCAGCAGCACCTCTTCCTCTGCTGGGAGCTGGGAGGCTGAACTGGTACCTCAGCCAGCAAGAAGGGAGATGACTTTCTGACTAGATTTCCCATGTGGAGCGTCTCATAGCTCCTCATTCCCCATTTTCTTTGCCCAGGCTGGTGTTTCCTCATTGGAGGAAGAGCAAGGAGGAAGAGGAGATCGTCTGCAAGGAGTATGTCATGAGCACAAAGCAGTTCTACTTTGGACCGCTGCTTTGTGGAAAGTCAAGAGAGTGGTATGTGCTGCCTGTACAGACTGAGGTGTTGGGAGGGGATCTCCAGGGCCTTGTGTTTTCCTGGACACACTTGGAGACACGCTGTCCCAGTGGCACAATCCAGGGTAGTCCCAGGCTGGGAGACACATGGGCTTGAGGGACCACAGGTGTGTGAGCGTGAGCAGATAACAGGCAAATGAGCCTTGGAGGAGCTGCTCTGCAGGGAAGGCACCCCAAGAAAGAAGGGGAAAGAACCCTTGTGCCTGGTGTACTGTTGTTTCTCCAGACACTTTTGAATTTATATTGTGTGAAACACTCTTGAAATGGCCTGTGCATCCTCACGCTTCTGGGGTGCAGGCACCAAGTATAGGGGCAGGCATCAAAGTAAGGCAAGGATGAGCACACAGACCTCGTTCGTGCCCCTGACAGGGATCCTTTTATTCTTCACCTGCTTGTTAGACCATGGTCTTCCAGTGCCACCTCCTGCTGCTGGCACACAGTGCTTTCCTCAGTGTAATGTAGGGGCAACAGTCTCCTCTACAGCCTTTTCCCCTTCTCTGGACAGGGACAAGTCCCAGAACTGCACCGACAACATCGAGAAGTTAACCATCTTCAATGACTTCGCCATGGAGGCAGAGGTGCATTTCTCCTTTGAGAACGACGACAAAGGAGAGACATTCCTTTTGGACCCTCCCAGCATGACACTGAAACCCAAAGAGAAGAAGGTAGGAGATGAGCAGGAAGGGCAGGCACCGCAGAAGTGCCGTTCCTCCTGCTCACAGAGGGCTCTTTGTATTTCTTTTTGTGGGGACGGGTTCAGAAGCTGAGTATTTGGGCATACCCGAGTTCCGCTGGCCTCGTGGAAGACAGTCTCATCTGCTGCATCAAGAACAACCCGGAGCCAGTGGTCTTCCGACTCAGCTGCGAAGGGGTGCACGTGAAGCTGGGGGTCAGCCCCCAGGAGCTGCAGTTCAACAAGCTGCTTCTGCACAGGTCAGTCATCCCGTGGCTGAGGGCACTCCAAGGCTTGTGACAAAGGGAAGAGGTTTAACTCTGGTTCCAGAGGTTTAGATGGAGCTGCTTCAAGCTGCATTCCATGGCGAGGCAGCTGACGCCGAAATGTCTTCCTGTCTCTGCAGGACTGACACCCAGACCCTGGTCCTGAAAAACGACGGCCCACTGCCCATGGCATGGTATCTCAGTGGGCTGGATGACCTCGGAGATGACTTCTCTGTGTCACAAGGCAGGGGCATTGTTGGCCCCCACTCGGACTTCGAGGTGAAACTGAATTTCAGGGCCGAGAAGATTGGCATCACTAACAAGATGATCCGACTAGAGGTGAGAGGGACTTGGGCCTTCCTGGCAGAGCAGGGCAGAGCAAACAGCTGTGTGCTCTTAGGGATAGAGTCAGGAGGAGCTGCACCTGACAGGCACAAGGGTGCTGTGGCCCCAACTTGTGCCTCTGCGCTGGGTTCGCCAGGTGCCCAGGCTCTGCTTCCCTTACTGCTGTGCACAGTTGAAGGCTGTTGTTTGGTTGTACGGACCAGCATTCTCTCTGTACCCTTTCTGGGATTTTGTTCTCTGTGGTTTAGAGGCTGCATTTCAGTAAGGATGCGAGGTGATTGAAGAGGAGGGCGTTAATTGCCCACAGTGCCACCTGCTCTGGGACACCTCTCATTTCTTGTGGTTGTGTTTACATCCCTGGGCCTCTCAAGGGTGCTTTAGCAGCACCATTCCCTGCTGTGGGAGTGTAGAATTGGGCTGATAAGGTTTCTTACTGCAGCAGAATCCTGCCGGGGCAGCCTGTGAGATGAACAGGTTAGGAAAGCTTGAGAGTCCACAAACACTTGTCAAGCCAGGGAGGCCATGGGGGAAGCAGCTGGCAAGGACAAGGACTTAGAGGCTGTCTTCCAGAAGAATGATCTAAGCAGTGTTTGTTTGTTGCTGCCTCAGGTTTCAGATGCAGAAAACATCCTGGGGATTGTTCATGCTGAAACTATCAAAATCTCTGTCGAGGTCTATGATGTTAATCTGAACATCAACATGCCTGAAGGTCAGTGGATTCCTCCTAGACAGAAGTCTGGGTTCATTGTACTGCCTTGGCAGGTGGGCAACCAAAGCCCTTGGGAGGGGAGGGCATAGCAGGCAAGGGTGGCACAGATACATAAAGCACATACCTTGCAAGCTGCGTGAAGTAAAGCACTGTCAGGGCACCAACAGCCTTGAGTCTCTTCCTTCTGAACTTTGAAACGTGCAGCTTTGTGTGCAGATTGGATTAGGTGCTTTGAAACAACAGTCATCTGAACAGGCACTTGGCAATTCCCAAAGGCTCAGCACATAAAGTAGTTGGATTTGTGCTTGGAAGCAAGGAAATGGAAACCAAGCTCCTTGGCTTCTGCCCTGCAGATAATTGGAGTAAGAAGAGAAAGTAGCTAGAGAACACTTCCAAGAAGGGACACTTGCTGAAGAGGGTTTTGTGCCATCCAAGAACTCCCAACTATGTACTTGTGACCTGGTGTGGTCTGCAGCAGCTCACAAATATTCACTACTTCTTACCTCGCTCTGAATGTTTTCTACAGGTCCAGACGGCACCGTGGAATTTGGAACCATTAATGTCCTGGATAAGAAGAAGGAAGTCCTGAGCCTGAAGAACCAAGGCTTATATGACATTGAGTACAGGTGAGTCCAGCAGCCTGGTGCTGAGCTTTTCCTCAGGCTCCCAGGCCTGCGTTCTCCCTCTGTCCATGGCTGGAACCTGTTCCCGTGCTGCTCCCTTTTCTTTTTTTTCTGGTCCTATGCAAAGTCCTGGCTGTGCTGGTGGCACCTGTGCTTCCAGCTGCAGACATCTTCATTCTTTGCCTTTCTCCACAGCTTCAAGCTGAGAGCTGGAAGTGCCAAAGTCGGCAAGTTGGAATCTCACTTCACTGTCCAGCCACAGAGGGGTTTGCTGAAAGCCTCCAAGCCACCTGTGAAAGTTGAGATTCTCTTCCACCCTACAGCTGAAGTGTTTATTAAGAGCAGACCCATCCTGCTCTGCCAGGTGAGCTGCCTGGGCCCATCTGTGGTAGCACAGTGTGTCTTGGGAGCATAAGCAGGATAGGTGTCTTTTGCAAAGAAGGCTTTAGCTGGGGCATCCTCTCTCCTACATACACAAACAAAGGCTTCCAAAACCATTTGGGAGGCTTCGTAAGAGAGCTGAAAACCTGGCTCTGGAAGAGGCCTTTTTAAATAGGGAGGGTGAGCTGATGGAGACGTGGGGTGGGGTCAGGGGACAGGGGGAGAGGCTGGCCTCTCTGCTGTGTTTACCAGCCCCTCCTCTGGTTGCAGGTCATTGATCCCAAACTGAGTGAAGAAGAGCAGGCCGTTGCCACCATCCCACTGAGTGTGTCGGCAAGAGCTGTGTACAGCAAGTACAACATCGAGCCTGCCTCACCCATGGACTTTGGCGCCATGATTAAGGGCACGAAGGCGACCCAGACCTTAATTCTGGAGAACAAAGGTTCCCTCAGCTTCAAATTCGTCATCGACCAAGCATCTCCACTGCAAAGGTAAGAGAAGACCTGCACCAGCCTTTCTGTCTGAGGAGGCATCACCACACAGCTGGTGTGTGACAGGCAGCCAGACCTGGGTTATCGTCCATTTGGGTCACTGGCTTGGGAAGGGGGAGCAAAACAACACCTCAGTATCCCCCATATGTGGGACAAAGGTGGTCATAGAGCTGCTCTGTCCATAAGCTGCAGCAATGGGTGCTGCAGGCAGCTCTCCGGGGGCCATCAGGAGCAGGAAGGCTTTCCTCCCTGGGGAGGAAGGCCAGCTTTGGCCTCAGACAAAGGCAGGGCAGCTCAGCGTGACAGATGTCTCTGCTTTCTCCTCTCAGTTCACAGCAAGAGGAATCTGCCCCCTTGGAAAGGGAAGGAAAGCGCTCGGAGCAGGTGGGTGGCTCCTGCTCCTCCCCAGCATGTGCTGCTGCAGGGCACGTGGGAGGATGCAGCTGTGCCCAGGCTGGGGGGAGGACGTGGTCTGTGGGATGGAGAGTCCAGTATCTGCTCAGTTCCACTGACAGTCCCTTGCTCTGGCTCTGACCTGGAGTTGTGGGGTCAAGAGAGGGGAGCAGGTCCTGTGTTTTTGGTGACTGCTAGCCAGCATAGGTCTGTGAACACCCCAGGAGCAAACTGTCCCCATCTGAACTCCCAATCTCTAGAGCACTGACAACTTTGCTTTTTCTTCTTCCTCCCTGTCTTCCATCATTTCTCTCAGTCATTTCTGCTCTCTGGTACCCCTGGAGGCTGAAGGATCCCAGCTACCACCTTCATTCTTTACACCCAAACCCCTTTCTTTCTGCCACTTGGGACAGACTTGCAGCTCCTCCTGGCTTGTTCATCCCATCCTGGGGCTGCCTTTGGGCCAAGGAGTTGTCCTTCCCTACGCTGCAACTGGGTGCTTGGGCCCAGCTGGAGGCCAAGGCATGGCATACTCCTTGCTGGGGGTGTTCAGGGTACAGCTGTTAGGCGTCAGCCTGTCCTGGTACTCTTTCTGCAGGCTCAGCTCACCGTAGGCATGTTCACGGTGTCCCCTTGCTCCGGCTCCATCGGTCCTTGGGGCAACCAGAAGATCACAGTGGAGTGCAATGCAGGACCAGAGGGGAAATGTGAGGAGCAGCTGTGCATTGACATCAGCAACAGAGACCCCAAGGACAATCCCCTCGGCATTCCCTTTATCCTGACTGCCGAGTCCTGCTTCCCAGGTACCTACTGTCCTCAGGTTCCCCATTGTCAGTCCTGCTGCTGATCAGCACCTAAACTTGCTCCTTGGATAGAGAGGCCCCCTGGTCCTGAAGTCCCACCTTAAAATCCTCAGAGGTTGCAGTCCTTTTCAAGTCCACCAGTGGGGAGAGGCTGGGAGGGGTGTGTGGAAGCATAAAAGGAAAGCAATGCCCTTTAAGGCTGAGGTTGACTGAGCTCCATCCTCACTGACTGAGCTCTCTCATCCAAGGCTGGGTTTTGCAGTCACCTGGGCAGAAAGGGCTCATCAAGCCATCTGGGAGGCCAAGTGGGTCCAGGTAAATTCAGCAAAGAGGCTTCTTCAGCCTCAGCCCTCCCTCTGGTCTGTCTGCAGCACTTGTTGAAGACGTCTCATCCATCTTCGAGAAGTACCCGATACACAGCAACGTCAATCTCCACCAGACGTTACAGACAGTGCAAGGCAATGGCGTCTTCATCAAAGAAGACAACAAATTCATTTTCACCAAAGTTCTGGTTGGACAAGAGGCCACAGCTCAGTTCAAGATCTCGAACGGCAGCAGTATCCCATGTGACGTGGTCCTCTCCATCAAAGCCATGCCTGGAGAGGTAAGAACAAGAGGCTCTCTAGAGGCCAGGGGAGAGCCTGCCTTGTTTTCCAGAGTCATTGCGTTCTCTGGCCCAGCTGGACTAGTCCAGCTCAGTGCAGGTCAAACTGCAGGGGAGAGCAGCAATGCCAGGGGGGCACTTGCTTTGAGTTCCACATCCCTCAAGCAAATTTTGGCTCTCGCTTCTGGGTCTTTGGCGAGAATCCTTCTGAACGTCTCTGGAAAGCACAGTCAGAGAGGGGCTGTTCCAGACTGAGGGGCCAGAGCTCAAAGCAGAGCATTGCCTGGCTTTTCCTTCTCTTGGAAGGCCAGTCCTAGGTTATTTGCAGGGGTTTCCATGCACTCCCAACCTCCCACATGTGCTGGGGTGGCTGCCCCGCCCTCCAAGCACGCTTTTGCACGCCTGGGCAGTAGCACAAGGTCAGCATCCCCTGGGATGGAGGGAGCCTGCCCAGGGAAGCGTGAAGCAACACACACTGTCTGGGGCTGTTCCCAGGGAGGCATCTATGAATATACTGGGTCACATTGAAAGATGTTTCCTCCTAACACTGCACTTTGGTTTCCCACCCAGCCTCACGACGTCATCAGCAACATCTTCAAGTTGGATCCTGACAAGATGAGCCTTCCCGGCTTATCCCACGCCTTTGCTACAGTGACCTTCTCTCCAGAACAAAAGGAAGAGTACCAGGGCATTTTCACAGCTTCCCTTGTTACCCCAACAAGGTAACTGACCCTGGGAAGTATTGGGGGGGACCCTTCTGGTAGCTGCCTCTCTTCTTGATAACTCCAATGCTTTCAGTGCCCTTAGGCAGAGTATTTGGCATGAGATGATCTGGGAGGCAGTAACTGTGAGACAGAGCAGAGCAGAAAAATGAGGAGGATGCTTTAGCCTGTGGGAGGGACTCTGAAGAGAGTGCCTTAGGTAGCCAGCTGGAAGTTACTGAGAACTGCAACAGCTGAGCTGGGACTTTCCAAGGACAAAGGCTTAGATGAAGCAGTTGCTGTGCAAGCAGGTCAAGATTTCCTCCTTATTTCTGTAAAAGGAGGTGATCCTGTGTGGTTCCCTGGCATTCATTTAGCTATTTTTATATCACGGGAGTGATTGGAGCTCTTATCAAAGAGAAGCCGAGTTCCTCTCTATGGGGCCTGTGTACTGCAGCTCTGACCTGCCCTTCCCCAAGCCTTTAGTGGCCAAATTGGAACAGGGAGGTTAGATTTCTGCCCTAAGAAGCAATTCCTTTTTTAGTATCCTTGGAAATAGTCTTTACTGGTGGTGGTGTTGATTTGGTTTTCCCTTCTTGCTTTTACTTGTTGCATATGTCTCATATCACTGCAGCCAGAGGATTTGCCACGTCTCATCTGGTGCCTCATTATTTATCTGCTGTACAGCATGATTCAAATTAGGGAAATTATTTATAACTCTTATTCTGGAAGGCTCTGGCTGAAATGGTTTCTGTGCCTCTCCAGCAGCTCCGTGAATGCAGCACCACAACAACTGACCTTCACTATCAGTGGAGAGGGGAACGTGCCTGAGGTGACAGTGGTGTACCCAGGCCTTCAGAGCAAGAGAGGAAACCCTGTGCTGCGCTTCAGGAGACTCCTGCTGGGGGATTCACAGAAACTCCCCCTGGTCCTTCGTAACAACGGCGTCATACCCACCAAGGTAAGGACCTGCTCAGGGAATGCTGTTTTTCCCCCTGTCTCCCAGCTCCCATTTTGTTCTCATGTGGCCATGTGTGATGTCCCAGTTCCATGAGATTGCATTTGATACTGCTTGACTCCATTTTAATTAATCTTAATTGGGGTTTAATTACACTCTGCTCATGACTGCCTGTCCTGTTTGGCTCTATGTCAGTTCTATCCATAGGCTTTTGAACACCCTTTTTCCCCTGTGTGACTAATTTAACCTTTGTGCTGAGCGCTGTGTTTGAGGTGGGGAGGTGGTCTGGGCTCCCCTGCTGGACCAGCAGCAGTGCAGGCTCGATCCACATGCCATCCTCTCACCCATGTCACTGTGCTCCCTTTTCTCAGTTTGCAGTACGACTCTTGGATGAACAGCGAGTTTTCTCCATGAAAGGCAGGAAGTCTGCATTCCAGGCCTTCCACATTGGAGACGTGGAAGAGGACTCCACCAGAAAAGGTAAATCCATTAACCATGCAGAGTAATCCTTCACAGAGGGAAAAGGTGTGCCCTGCTCTTGGCTTGTCTAAGCAGCAGCCACGTTTCTTTCCTTGGTCTCTCTGTCCCCCGAGCTTTTCTTGTGGACTCCTTGCAGGGTTTCCTCCCAGCAAGTTGTAGGGAGTTTTTCTGTTCTTCTAGACGCAGTGGGTTGAGTTGGGGGGGACCACCACCACCTCAGTGGACCGGCTGAGGTCTTGGCCGCATGTGGGAAGGTTCCAGCCTGAACAGAGGCAGCCCTTGAGCACACAAGCCAGCCAGCGGAAGCCAAAAGCACTCCTTGGCTCAGCCTTCCATATGGCAGGAGCTGGCTGGAAGCGGATGGAATGAGGGCTGGGCATTAACCTGAGGTTAGGCCGCTTAAATGGTGATGTGTGTGATGGTGCCATAGTCTTGTGAACACAGGAAGAGGGTTTGGAACCACTGGTGGGAGAAGCCATACTTAGAAGCAACTGAATCCAACCTCCTATTCCTTGTATACCCCAGAGAAATACTTCCTCTGTACAGCTGTGTCGCTTAACTCTGATTCCCATTGCCATGCAGCCAAGAAGCATCACAAGCAGCCTTACATGCTCCTGGAACAGGGACAATCAGCAGAATTTGACGTGTTTTTCAAACCCACCCGGGTCCAACGTCTGGAAGGGAAGGTCCGTGTGGAACTGTCAGGCAGTAATGAGATCAACATCGAGCTGGTGGGTGAAGGCTATGATGATGACTTCACCCTGGATAACCTCCCTGAATTAGAAGACAGTGAGGAGATCAGTGCTAAAGGCAATCTGGAGGACGACATCATTGAGGGTAAGAGAGGAGAGGCTGCCAAGGTAGAGCGAGGAAGAGGAAAATGTCTGATCATGCATGTCCTCTCTTTAGCCAGGGCTGGGCTGTCACCTACTGGACTTGGTGGCCTGTGAGCTTGCCAGCCATGCACACGGAGTAGTGTGTGCTCTGCTGCTTGTCGCTGGGCACAGGCACAGCCCTGGGCTTGGGGACCTCCCAGAGGGAGGGAGGCTTGGAGCAAGGAAGAGTTGAACATACACGTGTCTCTGCACGTGAGGGGGGCAGATGGACATCACTGCACGCTGAGATCCCTTGCTTTCCTTCTTCACAGCTGTCAAAGGGAATCACATTGAGTTTGGGGACTGTGCAGTCGGGAAACACTGCAGCAAGACCTTCACAGTCACCAACCGCAGCAAGGAGGAGGTGATGCGGTTTGAGTGGCCGGCAGATGCCCCGTTCCAGTTCTCCCCCAAGGTGAGCTGGGACAGCTCTGCCTTTCTCAGTTGCTCAAGCCCTTTCCTGGTGTTCCTGGGAGCTGGCAGGGAGTCACCACATGGCACTGAGAGCCCATTCCAGTGCCATACAGGAGATGCAATCCCTGGCTTTGCTGGGGCAGGGCTGTCAGCCCAGCAGGAAAGGCTCTGTGGTTGGGGGGGGGGGGAGTGGTGGCACCTTCTGTTCATACTTTGCTCTATCAAATCTCACATAAATCCTCACTGAGGTGCAGATTCCCGGCACAGCTGCTCGCTGTATCAGTCCTTTTTGCTGTCAGTCCTGCCCTTGCCAGTGATTCCAGTTTGGTCTTGACTCTCTGGTTCTCCCTAGGCGGGACACCTCCAGCCTGGCCGTGCCAAGGATATCAAGGTGACCTTGAAATCCAATGTCCCAGTCACCTTCAAGAAGCACTCTGTGACATGTAAGGTGGCCAAGATCAAGTACCAGCTGCCACCAGAAGAGGTTTACGAGTGGGACGACGAAATGCGCACGGTCCAGTGGGAGGATACCACCGAGAAACGCCCAGGAGCCCGCTGGCCTCTGAAGCGGAAGGTAAGAAACACAGCAGCAAAAGCTAACCAAGCTTCTGCAAAAGGACCTGCTGACAGCAGCAGACCACCAGCGCTGCTGGCAGAGCAGTTCCTGCTTCCCCCGGGCATTGGCTCCAGCCGTGAGGTTCACCAGCAGTGCATTTTAGGGGAGAGGCAGGTGCACTCACACCAGAGGGGGAGCCTTTTGACAAGAGACCTTTATCCACATACAAAGTACCGGTCTGTGCCACAAGCCAAGTGTTTCTATCATTATTGCCAAAGACACTTATCTTGGTGAAGGGTCTTGCTGAGTTTCTGAACCACTGTGAGTCCTGTAAACCAAACTTCCCCATCAGGGCATCAGCAGTTGGAGACTTTCCCAGTGAGATCATTCACATCCCAGAATGCCCAGAGCCAACTCCAACCCCACACATGACATCTGGAGAACACTTTCTCCTAAGACAAGAAGGAAGAAGTTCTTTCTAGGACTGGTCAGTCTTGGGCTTCTCCATTCACAGAGCTCCAGCAGAGGAACTTAATGCTGCTGTTTAGACCTGCTTTATAGGGGACCAGGGACTCTACAGGGTTGAAGCACAGGGACTGACAGCTGGCCATAATCCCCATGGATGTGGTGGTGACTGCTTTGATCAGTGGGTAGAAACCAACACTGTAGTACAACAGTCCAATTTTGTTATCTTGCCAGGGAAATAAACCTGAATGTCCTTTCTATGCAGCTGAGTTTGGAAGCCAAAAGATTTCTCTGCTCAGCCTGGCTTTCTGGGCTCTGCTCAGTGATTCTTCCCTCCTCTGCCTGCAGGTGGCCAGGGCACTTCAGGAACCATCTCACACCGTCCTGGGTGAGAGGAACTACGAGGTCGAGCTCAGTGCTCGAGTTGACTACACCAAGTACAAACTGGACACAGTCGACGTTCAGTTCAAGAAGACAGAGCTCTTCCAGATAGAGACAAGCACGTGAGTGCTGGGCACCATGTTGGCCCTTTCCTCCTAAACTTCCAGATATACTTTGAGATACTTTGGGCCACCCAGGGCAGCAATTCTGCACATGGCAGAGTTGCCTGGGGAAGGCAATGTTCCTCAGCAGAAGGTGGTGCCAGGAGCCCACCACACAGTGTTACCTTAGTACTTGCTTGTTATTCCTCCTCCTTGTTTTTCAGTTTCCAGATGTTCAATACAGGGAAGGTAGCCCTGAAATACTCCTGGGAGGTGACTCTGGAGGAGAAAGGACCATTGAAGCGTGCTGGGAAGCCGTTCTCGAAAACTCTGATGAGTAAGTCATTGGCTCTGGGGGATGTGCCCGGGACATTTCAGTTGGTAGCTGAGGGCCTGGGGAGAAGATCCTGCCACTTCACCCCAAAACATTAATTGCTTTTCAATCCCTGTTCACTTCCCAGCATCAGCTGGAGAGTTTTCTCCTTACCCCCTCTGCCTTTTAGCCCCTCCTGTTCTTGCTCTGCCACCTGTGCTCTGCACAGGAGCTGAGCCGGGCTCCAGGGAGAGCCACGTGCTGGGTCAGGACTGGGAAGGGGGACATCAGGGCACCTCTTTGGGAAGTCTCTGAGACTGGGAAAAACAACAGTGGAACAAGTGATCTGCCCTGCAGCCACTGTCTGTATGCAGTTCCCCACTCCAGGGCAAATGCAAAGTCACTGTCTAAAAACCAGTCCTCCTGCCCCAGCACAGGAGTGTGTGCTGCAGGCAGAGACCCTGCTCCCAGCTGCTATGTCTCCTGCTGAAAGTACTTGGCCAGAGGTGCTCCAAATGCATCCCAGCTCTCTTCTGTCCAGCTGCAGCAAGAGGCAGAGTTGTTGGGAACAAAGGATTTTGTCTTTGAAACATGTCCTCTTCCGTCCTGCAGGTTGTTTCTTGCCCTCTGCTGCTGCGGAGCAGAGGCTCAAGCCTCATGCAAAGCAGGTGCAATGGGCATCACCGCTCGAGTCAACTCAGCCCAAAGACACTCAGGCCAAGTCAACTCAGCCCAAAGCAGCTCAGCCTCAGACATCGACTCAGGCCAAGTCAACTCAGGCCAAGTCAAGTCCAGACCGTTCGAAGCGACCACCTTACTCTTCTAAACACGTTAGTTCCTCCATGGAATTGCTTCCAGAAGACATCAGTGACCCACCACCGCTGTTCTCCATCGAGCCCCACTGCGGTACCATCCCTGCTGGACAGAATCAGATTTTCCATGTGAAATTCTGCCCGATGCGTGTGGGGAAATTTAAGGCCAAAATACTGTGCAGGTAAGAAATGTCCAGGTGCTTTCCAATCCATGCTCCTGGTGGGTATCGCAGGATGGGTCAGGTTGGCAGGGACCACAGTGGGCCATCTGGTGCAACCTCCCTGCTCAAGCAGGGTCATCCCAGAGCACATGGCACAGGATTGTGTCCAGAGGGTTCTGGAATATCTCCAGTGAGGGAGACTCCACAACCTCTCTGAACAACCTGTCACCTCCACAGGGAAGAAATTCTTCCTCGTGTTCAGGTGGAACTTGTTTTGCATCAGGTTCTGCCCATTGCCTCTTGTCCTATTGATGGGCAGCACCAAGCAGAGCCTGGTCCCCCCTCCCTTCCGTCCCTCTGACTGGGGTGGGTGAGCGTGCAGCCCCGGGGACAGCCAGCCCCAGAGAGGCAGCAGGAACATCCAGTATACAGGAGCACAGAGAGATGATCATCTGGCCTTGGGAGATCCAGAATGGCTGTCAAGGGGCCAGCCAGTCCCTAGCTATGCTTCCTTATGGGACAAGCACAGCCTCCTTCTCTTGAGGGAACCCCGTGTGCTGCAGTTGGTCCCCAGGCCCATAATTGGTTGTGTTTCTGCCCTTCCCCCTCTGCTGCCTCCGTGGCAGGGAATGCAGTTCTGTTTCATTTGCTTCCGATGCAACACTGTGTGCTCTGTGAGGAGGCAGGCAAGAAGCTGCCTGGCTGGAAATGTTTGTCTGGCTAATACCAGTCCCTTTCTTCCTAGTCTTCCTAACCTGAAGTCACCTCAGAAGAGCCCATCAGTGTCTGTGATGGGGGAA